AAATGATTTGTAACTTTCACCGATGATCACACTAGGTTAAGTTGGGTTTATTTAATGAAAAAAATTGAAGTGTAAATACTTTTCAAAAATATTTAAATAAAAAAAAACACAATTTAAAAAAATCATTCCATATTTTGAAGCGATGCTAGTCGAGAGTATTTTAAAAATAGTTTCGGTCAATTTTTTCGAAAAAGAATTAATTCATTAAAACTCTTATGTTGACATTTCACGACAATATGGCGTGGTTGAAAGGAAAAACAAGCATTTATTGGAGGTAAATTGGGGTTTGCTATTTACTAATTAGGTGCCTTAATATTTTTAGGGTGAAATCGATCTTATTTCTACATTACTCATAAATAGAACACTCAATAAGGTTTTAAACTTTGAAACACCTTTTTATATTTTCAAAAATATTTTTTTCAAAAAATTGACTCTCATCTTCTTTACCTCTAAAGAAATTTGGGTGCACTGCTTTCATTCATATTCATAATCAAGAAAAATTTTAACCTTGGGCAAAAAAATGTATGTTTGTTGGTTATGCTCCTAAAGAAAAGGGGAATAATGGTTTGGTCTCAATTCTTAAAAAATGTATGTTATCGTGGATGTCATCATTTTTGAATTACAACCTTTTTTTTCACCCCATCTTCAATGGAGAACACAATAAAGATTTGAGTACTAAGTTTTATAATTTTCTTCAAATCTAAGACTCCCAAATTGGTGCATTCTTCATCTTAATTGTTTAACCTGAATTTTCAAATGATATTATATCAGGAGTGAGTGTGTCTACTGTTTAAGATATTGAAGTTTCTACAATGACATCTCATGATATTCATAACAAAGAAGGAACAGGAAAAAAAACTACGATAGTGGTACCGTTTGATATTGTTTACTTGTGACATAGGATAACTCACAAAAAGGTTCTACAAATCCTTTTGAATTGCTCAGAATCCATGAACCCGGGTAGTGTCCTCACTAATCCTTTACCCATATTATGTTCACCTCAACTTTGAGTTCTGAGCTTTCTAGTCTTGAATTTGAGCTTAGTTTGAATCTTGAATCAATTGAGTCTAACCTTCCCATTAGGGAAAGGTCTTGCACCTAACATCCATTGTCCCATTATGTGTCATATGAAAATCTCACTACTTTCTGTGATTTTATCTTACAATTGTCTTGTATGGAGATTGCTAGTACCGTGCAAGATGCTTTGACAATTCTTAAGTGGAATGAGGCTATTTTTTAGGAGATGAAAACTCTTGAAAAAAATAGCACGTGGGGATTGGTCGATCTACGTAGAGGAATGACAAGTGTTGGGTGCAAATTGGTTGTTTACAATCAAGTATATCCTGATGGCTCTCTTCAATGGTACAAGACTCGACTGGTTAGCAAAAGATTTAGTCAGACCTATAACATTGATTATTTAGAAACATTCGCCCCATTTGTAAAATAAAACTTTGTAAGGGTTATTATGTCACTTGCATCTAATATTGACTGGACTCTACAACAGTTGGATATAATGAATGTCTTCCTCAATGGGAATTTGGAGGAAGAAGTGTATATGGATGCACCTCCAGGATTTATTGAGAAGTTTAATACAAAAGTGTGTAAACTAAAAAAATCTTTATGTGGGTGGAAACAGTCATCAAGAGCGTGGTTTGAGAAATTTACACTATTTGTAAAAGGTAAGGAGTGTACTCAAGAGCAAGGAGATTATACAATGTTCGTCAGACATTCAAATTATGGGAAGATAGTCATATTGATTGTGTATGAAAATGAAATTTTTCTAACCATGAATAATGCATATGATATTAACCGTTTGATGACTTTCCTTTTATATATCTTAAAATCAAAGACTTTGAACCTTTGAGGTATTTTCTTGGCATGGAGGTTGCTCAATCGAAGAAAGGAATTATTGTCTCCGAATGAAAGTATATTTTTGTTCTTCTCAAGGAAACTAGTACGAGTGGGTGTAGACCCACTGTCACTCCAATTAATCCTAATCTAAAACTGGGAGATGGGAAGGAATGTGCTACAATGATTACAATTAGGTATCAAAAATTGGCGGGGAAGTTGATACACTTATTGTATGTTTGACCATATATTTCCTTTGCTGTGAGTTTGGTAAGCCAATTCATGCACTTGCCCTATGAGAAACACCTTAAAACAGCCAATAAATTCTCATATATCTAACAATTACACTAGATAAAGGCTTGCTCTTTCCGAAGACCATACAAAGAGCTGTAGTTCCCGATAAGAGCAATAAATTACACTAGATTATGACCTTGCTCATATCTAGTGAAATGATGCTTGCTCTTTCGGAAAGGGCTGCAGTTCCCGATAAGACCACAACATCATTTCACTAGATAAAGGCTTGCTCTTGCCAATAAATTCTCATATATCTAACAATTACACTAGATTATGACATACCGATAAGAGCTGCAGTTCCAATAAATTCTCATATATCTAACAATTACACTAGCCAATATACATGGAGGCGTACGTTGATGTAGATTGGGACTCAGTTATTCACAGGCGATCAATTTATGGATATTACACCTATGTGTGGGGAAACTTGGTTAATGGAGAAGTAAGAAATAGAATATTGTTGCTAGGAGTAGATTTGAGGCTTAATATAGAGATTTGGCTAATGGAGTATGTGAGATGTTATGGTTGAAAGGAATTATGGAAGAGCTGCAGTTCCCGATAAGCATGCTAGTGAAATGATGTTTTGGCAATAAATCACCCATAAGTATTTCAGAAAATCCAGCGCAACATGATTGCACAAAGCATGTGGAGATTGACATGCACTTCTTAAAAGAGAAGATTGATTGTAGAACTATTTGCATGTCATTTATCTCTATTATCCAATAAGTGGCACTTATCTTCACCAAATGAATATTCAGGCTTAATATTGAGCTTCTTATAAGTTGGGCATGATTGATATTTGTGCCCCTACTTGGGAGGGGTGTTGGATTTTTATGAAGTTTTTATTTTAGTATATTCTATTATTAGATATTTTGAATTTCTAGAGTGTTGCATTATTAGTATGTCATAATTTTTGTTTCTTTCTTTTACCATGAGGAGTTATGGCTGATTTTATTATTTTCCTAATGTGGGGGCCATCCCCCTCTATCAATCTTGTAATCGCTTTCTATGAAATTGAAGAGGAATGATTATTTTCTCCATTCCAAAAACAACAGTCCAATAGAGAGAGTCTTGTTTCTTTCGTATGTGCTATTGTTTTTTTGTTATTCTCAATGACGTCAACTAGTAAAAGCTTTGTTCTATTTGAAGGCTTTCATGAAATTTTTTTTATATATTTCATGAATTAAAATTTCTTATTTTACTTATTTTTTGAAGTGGTTGACTGCCGTCTGTATTGTCATGTATCTTATACATTTTGCTCATTATCCAATTTTAAATTTTGCCATTGAATTTCGTGTCTAAAGGGATGGAATCTAACTTCTAACAATATTTTAGATTTTGATTATGGGAAAGGACAACTTCGAACAAGCAACTGTAGTTTTCTTTCTCTATAGATAATTAGAAAACTTTTCTATGATCTTAAATTTAATTGTTTCTTCATACCAAGTTAACTTTTACTTCCCTTCTATCTTGATGGAATGATATTTTTCGATCATTTTCTTAAATTTTTTCAACTTTTCTATTTTTTGATGAATTTTGCTGCAGATGATTCTCCCTTCATCTGAATTGGTGTTGGTGGAGTAGATGTTGGTAGTGCCAACTTAGAATCAAGAGATTCGTAGGAAGCAATCATTGTATTCTTTTTTTCCTTTATTGTGATCATTTGATTAGCCATCTCATATTGAGAAAGCTTTCAATTATCTATAATCTCTCTTCCTAGCCATAGTCCTCAAACTCTATAGAGTCACTAAGAGTATCCTTCTCTGTCCTCAATGCAATTGCAACCATGTTTTTTCCCCCTATAGGTTAGAATTAATGCTTTGTACAAAATTGTTAAACTGTAAGAATTTTCCAGAAAAAGGGTGATTTGATGCAATCTCTTTAATGTGATGAAGATAATCTGCAATTAGGGAAATAGTTGAGTTTTATTAGAAAACTGTTATTTGATTTTTTTTTCCTTTTGGTTGTTATTGTGTCTGTGGTTGCTACAGTGGACACATTGTTGCTACGATGCCTATGCAAAGAGGATGAGAGAAATATTTTGGCCGAGATGAAATCACTTAATATCACAACAAGCTAATAGCATGAATTAATTTAAATTTGATCATATTTTTTCCTAAATTAATTGTATCAAAAAAAGAAAAACCTTATTCCGAACTCGACGTTTTAGCACTAGCCATATCCTTCCTAAACTAACTTCACAGAAGCAAATTCAAAATATTAAAATTTTTAAAACTAGTTGAAAATTCATAATTCATTTTTATCTTGTTGTCCTTATCATCATCCAATGTGTCAAATTTATTACCTTCATATTTTGACGATTAGATATTTGATTTATGATCCTTTTTTATTTATGGACATTTGATGACTTAATCTTCCTAACCTAGATTGTGATCTAGAAACTTTTTTTACTAAGATCTTCTTAATCGATAGATGCATTTGATTGTAAGGGTATCCTAGTCATAAAGATTTCACGTCGAAGAATATCCATTACATTATCTGACCCAAGCCAATTAACCTTCTTAAAAAGGAAGCATTTTTAATTTAATAATATACAGGAATATCCTGCATTTTCAAAAATCATTTGTTAAATTTGATGAAAATAGAAGACTTATCATTTACAATATAATGACAAGAAAACATTGAAAATAGTCATGATAACACTACCAAATTTAGCTGATGAATTATTTACGCACTCTCTCATAATTGTAAGTTTTTTATTGTAATGTCACAAGTTCATAAAAATAACACTTTTCTTCTCCTTTATGAAACCATCTTTTTTTTAATACTGGGGGAGCCAGATTATTGTAAATGCCATATTTCACTTTCTCATACTGATATTTTCATTATTTTGACAGCCATGCTGACAGTAAGTGATGATGAATTCTGGGAGGGAGTTTCCCCAGTGGAGTTTGGTTCTCTGCCTGCACTCCAAGATGCTGTTACTGTTGTTGGGTACCCGATTGGAGGAGACACCATCTCTGTTACCAGTGGTGTTGTGTCACGTATGGAGATCTTATCATATGTTCATGGCTCAACTGAGCTATTGGGCTTGCAGGTTAAGCTACTGAATTATGGGTTTTATTTATGATACCAGACCCCAAAAATTGAAGGTTCATCACTTGCTGGTCCACAAGTTATAAATTTTTTGTTCTTGGACCTTAAGGCTGTTTTTTATTTTTTTTGGATCTATTCAATTTTGAATTTCATCAATGAACTTTAAAATTATCGAAATGCTTGGTGCCGTAACACTGTTTCTAGGTCCCGAGCTCTTAATACTTTGTCAAATCGGTCCCATCTTCCTTTATCTACTCTCACATCACTCTACTTTTGCTACCCATGCATCGAAGTTGGATTGGGGTGAGAAAAGGATGGGTATATCCGCTCTATTCTCCATTCATCTCTTCTCCTATCTCCTCCTCTCCTAGTATCTATAAAGAGGATGGGGCGGCAGAGGCTAGCTCCCTCTTTCCTAAATACATCTACCACTCTGCCCCTCCCTTCCTCCTCCCCGCCAAAGTTTACTCAACTAGTTCAAACTAAAATTTGATTAGCATGTGTAAGGTGTTGCTAGCACACTTCTTTCTGTTCGTCTCTCTCTCTCCATATCTTTTCAACACTACCGTTTTCCTCCATATGCCCATTTAGTTAACATCTGAGCTTCATGGCAGCATTATTTTTTAGTTTGATCCACTTAAAAAGCCTTTAATCTTTTTATTCCGTTACAGATAGATGCAGCCATAAACTCTGGAAATTCTGGTGGTCCTGCATTAAATGATAAGGGCAAATGTGTTGGTATAGCATTTCAATCCCTTAAACATGAAGATGTGGAAAATATTGGCTATGTCATCCCAACTCCTGTCATTTTGCATTTCATTAATGATTATGAAAAATCAAGCGAGTATACAGGTATTGCCCAATTGATAATAAAGAGTTTAATGTATTATGTTTTTATTTGTACTCGCATTTTGATTTTGTTCTCTGCTGGGGTTTTGTTGCTATAAGAATGTTGTGTTTCTATAGACAATTGCCTACAAATTATAATAAATGCTATTGTGTTTTACCATTCCTTTTTTACCATAATATGCCGTTCTTTTGCATTGCAGATTACGGTTATACTTTATCTCTACACCTGCTATTTAATGTTTGCAGTGTCGCATATACACAAAAAACCTATTTTTATTTTGCATTTTGCAAATTTTTAGCATCATGTTGCGTATGGCCGATTTGTTGCAGGATCTGTGCACTACTTTAATTTCCTTTTTATTGATTTTTTGTCCAAGCTGGATAGGAAGAAGCAATGAATGCTCACTAAGGTGCCATGACCTGTATTTATGTTTTATGCCACTGATCCATTTGGTATATGTATTGCATTAAGTCTTTTAGCCAAGTTTTGAAATAATTTGATGCAGCTGCCTTTAAATTATTTCTGTCTAATCTTCTGGGATCAATATAGGAACTGTTTTCTTCCTAACAAGATAATCTCCTTTCTCTAGGTTTTCCCATACTTGGGATTGAATGGCAAAAGATGGAAAACCCGGATCTGCGGAAGGCGATGGGGATGACACCTGATCAGAAGGGTGTTCGCATTCGTAGAGTAGAACCTACATCACCGGAGTCGGAATTTTTGAAACCATCTGACATTCTTTTGAGCTTTGACGGAGTTGACATTGCTAATGATGGAACTGGTAAATCACTGCATACTATGAGTTATTAATTTTCTTTGTTGAACTCAATTTATCGGTCCTTTTAGTGCTTTCTTTAGGAAATGCTCTGTGTATTGAGTCCAAAACATTTATCTAATTGCTTAATTTTTATTGTGCTCTGGTTCTTTAAGTTTTATAAGGGTGCTTTGTATTATTGCACTTCCAACATTTATCTATTAGATGCTATTTTTCTCATCTTTTCCTGATCGAATGGATATGCTGACTTCACTATCTTCTGCCATCATTCTCTGCAAATGAGAAATTATAATCAACAAATATTGTGGCTGTTTCCTTTTGTTTGATTCACCTGCAGTTTGGTGGATTTGTTTTGATATTCAAATGCGTATTTTTGGGGAACAAGATGAAGGAGAAATTGGACCATTTACCCCTCTTGATTAGAGTTATCCCAACCATGTGAGATTTACTTTATGAATCCTTCATTAATTAATATGTTTCTTTTGTTTGATTTTAATTGTGGCTTAGCTCATATATTTTCATAACTTCAAAGGCGTTGCATTTGGCATAGTTTCTTTTTCCCGTCTAGTCCTTTTAGATCAATTTTTTTCTGCAAAGTACATACTTGATTCTTCTCTAGCGTTGCCTGTTATCTTATCCCGAAATTGAAACATAAAGAATAATCCTTGATTATTTTGGATAAAAGCTGCATGCAACATATGCATGACATTGGGGTTCCTGGTTGTTTTCCTGGCTGAACTGGACCGGTTCTGCTGGGTTTCAGACGGGATGGAATTAGGGTCGGCCAACCATAGGAAAGAGGGTTTCCTCCCAAATAAGAAGGGGTCCCATCTCTCCTAGCTATCTATTAGTATTTGTGTGTTTTTTGGTTTTAGAGTTTAGTTGTTATTGAATTTTCTATCGGGACATATTTCGGCATCCCAAGTAATTCCTTCTAGGGCTGTATCCAAGGATAAGTGGTGCTCCAGCTATATCTCGTTCCGAGATTGTGATTATCCTCAAGTTTCCATCCTCCGCAACTCTCTCCCCCTCCACTGCCGCTGTAGTTGCCGCAACCATCCCAAGTACAACACCTTTGCTTTCTTGCAGCCACCATAACCTCCCCCATATCACTCGGTCATCCTACCTCACACTCTAACTGCAACTTCTAGCCGCCAATCAACCATCACCCTACTGTAGCTTTCCCTGTGGCTTGCTCTTAGTCCCACGACAACCAACGCCCCCATCTCCCATCCTTACCAGGGGTGTCAATACGGGTCCGTGGGTCGAGTTCGGGTTCGTCCCGAAAATGACCCAACCTGAATAGGGTCAACCCGAACCCGATCCAAATAATAAATGGGGCGAAAACTAAGGCCCGAACGGGGCAAAAACTAAGACCCGAACCCGAGCTTGACCCGCTAACCCGAACTTGACCTGAAATTTCGTGTTTATTTGGGTTATATTTGGGTTTTGGAGTTTAACCTGAACCCGACCTGAATAATAAACTAGTCTAAATCTCTGACCTGAACTCGACTCGAAAAATATTTGAGTCAAACTTAACCTAAATTTTTCGAGTTGAGTTTGAGTCGTGTTGGCGCGTCGAGTCACTTTTTGACACCCCTAATCCTTTCCACTGTATGTGTCCTACCGATGTCCCCACTACTTGGCCTTCCCAACCGTAAGTCTTCTGCTACCTAATGTCTCCCAAGACAGACAACTCCTTCCCCACACTTCTCTATCACAACACACTTACCCTCATCGACTGCCCCACTGTTGTCTTTTACTGCACCCTCTTAGAACCTGCCTCCCTATTTTCAATCCATCGAACAAACAATCACGTCAACCTAAGCCTAAATTTGGATTTTTGTTGTGTTTTTCATTATTATCTAGTCTTGAGTGTGTGAGTTGTAACCTCTATTTGACTTCAATAATAATGTGAGTTGTAACCTCTATTTGACTTCAATAATAAAGTTACATTTCTGTTGTTGTTAGGGTTAAGTTGTAATAGAGAAAATACCTACTAATATTTATGTCTATTTTTTGGATTTAGGGTTCAGTTTTTGTTGAGTTTTCTGTCAAGATAGCCGTCGGCGTCTCAAGTTCTATCTTCTAGGATTGTATTTAGGGACGAATGGTACTCTGGATGTATCTCATTCCGAGGTGGTGATTATCCTCTACTTTCCAATCTATGCAACTTTCCCACCGCCTCCACCACCGCCACCGCCGCTATAACTGCTGCGGCCATCCCAAGTACAAAACATTTGTTGTTGCTGCAGCCACCACAACCTCCCACCTGTCTCCCGATTATCCTACCTCACACCCTGCATGCAATTTCCAACCATCAATCAGCCATCACCCTACCGTAGCTTTCCTGTGAACTCTATACAGTCCCACGACAATCAGCTCCCCCACCACCCAACCTTCCCACCTTAAGTCCCCTGCTACATGTTGTCTCCCATGACATGCAAGTCCTTCCCCACCATCTTTCCTATCACAACATGCTTACTCTCATCAGTTGCCCCGCTGCCACCTTTCACCGGCCCCTCCTACAACCAACCTCCATACTTCCAATCCATCGAACCAACCACCACATTGAACTAAGCCCTAATTTGGGCTTGTGCTATGTTTTTTGTTTTTTCCTAGTTCTAAGTGTGTGAGTTGTAACCTCTATTTGAATTGAGTAATAAAAGTTGCTTTTCATTGTCATTCGGGTTGACTCCGGTATCAATTCATGAACAGTATCAGTTAACATAATCATTTTAAAATTGTCATGGAGTCCAACTCTAAACTAGCAAAATCAGATGACCTCTTGTGCTTCATTCATGATCAATGCATATTTTGAAAGAAGCTTTGATGATAAGAAAAAATTAAATTTTATTGCTATTATTTTTCATCTGTGGAGATACCATGTTACTTGTTCAAGAATGTTCATCAACATGTCACAGACTAACTTATCTTAAGTCTCCTGTGCGGTTTCAGCACTCTTCATGGCACTAAATCAGCTTAACCCTCACAACGCTTGAACTTATAAGCACAAAATACTCTAGTAAGAAGAAGGAGGAGAAGCATTGAAGAAAGAAACATTTCACCAAGAAAGAGTGATTATAGCACTTGAATGCTTGAGAACTTTGGATGGTTCTTGGATGGATACAGATGAGGGGGGGGACTCCTATTTATAATCCTCTCCAAGACTAAGGGAACTTTCTAAATTACATTAGAATATGTTGATTTCTAGATAGTTCTACATTATTCTTTACTTATACATGATTCAAACTTTTCAAAATATTCTAGGGTTCTCTTCAAGCTTGCTTCTTTCAGCATATTTCTGGAATTATGTGGAACCTTTTAGAATTCTTTGAAATATTCTCTTATTTTTTCTAATTTTTTTTAGAATGTTGTGGAATCTTTTAGTGTCTCTTGGATTGCTCTCTTCATTCTAATCTTCTCTAAAATCTTTCTTTCTCATGGTTAGCTTGCCTTTTTTTTTAAGATTGCGAAGTGTGATTCTTCCCCACTTAAGCTCGCAATGCTTTCTTTGCGGCTTCCACTTGATACCGCGAGTTTTTTTTTTTTTTTAATGTCTTCATGTCTCATTTTCTTGTCTGCTCATTTTTTAGTTCTTCTTATGGTCTCACGCAATGACACTCGAACCAGCTCCATTTGCTTTCTTACAGACTTGACAAACTTGAAAGGTATTGGGTTTTCCCCTTTATAACTGGTTCTATGGGGGGAGGGGTGACATGCAATAAAATTTCATGGCTAGCGACTCAGTCCTTGACTCCAGCCCAATCTTATGATTTTTCTCCCTTTTAGTGGTAGTTCTTTTGGTAATTTTGGTGAAACATTTTTAAATTCTTCAAGTACCGCCACCACTTCCCTTAAAGTAGTCTTTTTTCACGTTTGTGTGAGTCTAGTTTGGCAATGGAATTTTTAACTGAAGGTCTTCCTAGGATACCAAGAACGATACCAAGGACGATGACACTGTGTAATGTTAAATACATGTATATGTGTAGGTAAGCCTGTTTTTCCTGCTTGCTTGCTTTCCCTGCTGCATGTTCAATTCAAGTTCAATCATTCGGTCAGGATTGTCCTCAGAGGAAGAAGGCCATGGAGCCAACTTGGGATGTGGATGATAATTCTCAACTATGCTATAGATCATTCGAGCTGTAGTTATAATTAAGTTCTCATTCATGCGAAGTTAATTTTCATTTTCTTCCTCTTATGCCATGCTTTAGACTCTTTTCCTTAGTAGGCATTTTAAGCATAAATTTAGGTGCGGTTATCATTAAGTAAACTCATTTGCTTACTAATCTAAGTTTGAAACAGATGTCCGATTTCTATTTATTCTGGGATTTCAGTGTCTGCTCTAGTTTCTTAGAAGCAATACTCTTATTTGCTATTATAATACTATTAGTTTAATCCCAAAGTTTTTGGAAGTTCTGCCTGAAGATCAAGAGCTTGTCAAATAGCAAATACATGCATGCTTCTACTCCGAGAAAAAAAAAATGCATAATTTTCTGACTTGCTTTCTGTTGTGATCTTTAGTTCCTTTCAGGCATGGTGAGCGCATTGGATTTAGTTACCTTGTTTCACAGAAGTATACTGGAGAGACTGCTTTAATCAAAGTATTACGCAAAGCTAAGGTTCATGAGTTTAAGATGAGACTTGCGACCCACAAGAAGCTTGTTCCAGCTCACATAAAGGGCAGACCTCCATCATATTACATAATTGCTGGGTTTGTTTTCACGGCCATATCAGTTCCATATCTTCGTTCTGAGGTGCCCATTTTGACTTGATAAGCTTATCCTCTCAATTATTGATTTATTTGTTGGAACATTGGGAGTAGATTTATATCTGCAGGATATATATATATATATA